TGGATGGTAACTTGATGCCATCTGTGAAAAAGCTGAAGTTAAAGAGAGGATGGCTTCTACAAATGGATAATGATCCTAAACACACCTCGAAATCCACGGGGGAATACATCAAGAGGCGTAAACTGAAGGTTTTGCCATGGCCTTCACAATCTCCTGACCTCAACATAATTGAAAATCTATGGATAGACCTTAAAAGAGCCGTGCGTGACAGACAGCCCAGAAATCTCAAAGAACTGGAAGACTTTTGTAAGGAAGAATGGGCAAAGATACCTCAAACAAGAATTGAAAGACTCTTGGCTGGCTACAAAAAGCGTTTACAACCTGTGATACTTGCCAAAGAGGGCAGTACAAGATATTAACTCTGCAGGGTGCCCAAACGTTTGCAGACGCCATTTTTTTGTTTTCTGTTATTTTGAAAGTGTAAATGATGGAAATAAAATCTAACTTTTGTTGACATATTATAGAATGTCTAATCTGTAATTTGATGCCTTTTGGAGATTTTTCCATCTTTCCTTGGCTTCTTTATGCACATTAATACAATTTTTTAGCTGGGGTGCCCAAACTTTCGATCCCCACTGTATATATATCCCCTAGATTGTAAGCTCCCAGGAGCCGGGCCCTCTGTTTCCTCTTGTACCAAATTGTATTGTAACTGTAATGTCTGCCTTCATTTCGTAAAGAGCTGCGCAAACTATTGGCGCTATATAAATCCTGTATAATAATATATACATTGTGGGAACTTGCTACAAAGTGGTAGAGCTTTTTGTAACGCACACAGCAACTCGCTTCTTTATTTTTCAGGGCTGTTTCAGCCCACTTTTATTTAAATGACAGTTCAATAACATAAGAGGTTTCCCACACCGGGGTATCCAACATCAATATAAAACAAAAAGATTCAGCCTCCTGGCTCTCTGATATAAACAATCTTCCTCTGGCCTTTTTCTTCAGGCTTACGTCTGTCTCCTGAAGACTTTTTCCAAATTATGGCTCTTGCACACAGCTACTCCCGAACAGTCCCTTGCTGCTTTTGGCTTCCACCTCTCCTAGGTGAAGCCCACCTGACTTCAAGGCAGTGACCACCAGCCTGCCGGGTTGGAGCCCTCCTGACTCCTGTCTGCTGAGGTGGAGCCCAGAACCCTGGTCCTGACTCTATGAAAAGGCCCGCACACACCTGTGCAATCAGTATCCTGGCCATTTCCAAAACCTGGTCCCAGGATTGGAGATTTCATCCCTCCCAGATCTCTTTGAAATCTCCAGGCTCCAGATCCCAAAATGGACCTTATAAACAAAGGAGGAAAGTGAAAAGCTACTTTCCTCCGTATCAAACACTTACCCTGGAGCTCCTCAACCTGCCTTGTTGAGAACCCTGGGTGACAGATCGCCACACTGGCACAATATATATATATATATATATGTATGTATGTATATATATGTATATGTGATTTTGTATTTCCTGGTAGGGGGTGCATACACACCACCTGCACCGCCATTGGCAGCTACAGCTGACGATCATTGGTTCCCGGCCGGAGATTCCCCGCCAGCACCTGGCGACCGCCGAGAAACACTGATGGGGGAGAGAATTGTATGTAAACAATACAGATCTCTCCCCTGTCAGCTCCTGCATGCTGCTTTGTATGGCTCTGCATAGCACAGCCATACAAAGCAGCATGTCTCCCTAGTAAACCACACACAGTTAACCCTTCGATCAACACAGATGTTAACCCCTTCCTGCCCAGTGTCATTAGTACAGTGTCAGTGCTTTTTATTGGCACTGGTCACTGTATTAGTATCACTGGGGATGTCAGTGGCAGTTAGTCAGTTCCCTCCAATGTCAGAATGCCCGCCACAGTCCTGCAATAAGTCGCTGATCGTCACCGTTATTAGTATTGAAAAAAGAAAAAAAAAAATCCCACTATAGATGCCGCCATTTGTAGAGGCTATAACTTTCACGGAAACCAATTAATTTACACGTATTGGGATTTTTAGCAAAGACATGGAGCAGAATACATTTTGGCCTAAATTTATGACAAAATGTGATTTTTTTAAATTGTTTTAGTGGATATCTTTTATAGCAAAATGTCAAAAATATAGTTTTTGGTTTTTTTTCAAAATTATCAGTCTTTTTTTGTTTATAGCGCAAAAAAATAAAAAATGCAAAGGGGACCAAATGCCAACAAAAGAAAGCTCCATTTGTGGGAAAAAAAGGACTTAAATTTTCTTTGGGTTCAGCGTTGCATGACCGCGCAATTGTCAGCTAAAGTAACGCAGCGCCGTATCGCAAAGAATGGCCTGGTCAGGAAGGGGGGTAAATCCTCTGGAGGACGAGGGGTTAAAATTGCTGTTTCAGACAGGCAGTGATGCTTATCACCCTATGACAAGTGATTTATGATGGACTTCTGCCACCTCCTGATGTCTGTACTTGTTTTTGTTTTTTTTCTTTCATAGGCGACAATTGCAGGACTGTAGCGCATTTGTGATCCATGCTCTCATACTGTATGTTAACCTCCCTGGCGGTATTCCCGAGTGTAGCTCGGGGTAAAATGTCAGTGCCAAAAGCGGTAACCCCGAGCTACACTCGGGCTTACCATGCGGCGCTGCATAGGGAGTCCCTGCAGAGCTTACCTTGTCCTTCACTCCTGCGATGTGTCCCCTGTAGCATCCCCGGCCGATGCCGGCATCCGGCTTCTGTGTTCCGGTCCCTGTGACGTCGGGACGTACGGGCGCCGCCGCCGCTGGAAATTTGAAAATTTAAAAAAATGTCATTTTTTTCAAAACAACACATTTTTCATAGTAAAACATTGCTGTTTCAACCCATTTCACATACATTTTGTCCAGAGTGCTTTGTCCGGCGCCCTGCCTGCATTTTGTCTGTTCCTTCTGCCTGGAAACTGAGAAACGTCCATGGCGTCCAAAAAGTGTCCCTTTAGGTCAAAAGCGGTTTTAGACCGACTAGAGAACAGCGATAGTAAATCAGAACCACTTGCAGAATTGAGTGATAATTCGTGGGGGAAATTCCTCATCAGACACTGAAAACGATTCTGCGACTTTGCTCAGCGATGCGCAAACTTGGCGCTCTATTTCAAATTTCAGTGTTTTTGGTTTGATTATATTATTGAATTACATGTATTATTATTATATTATTATTTTTTATGATTATTTATTATATTATAATTTATGATTTTGTGTTTCAAATTTTATCATCCCCGGGATGTTTACTAGACTCTTGTTCGGACAGATTTCAGTGAGTTATTCCTAAAAATGACAGCCTACAATAAAAAAAACTACATTTTTCCATGCAAAAAAATGGTACCGCTTTCAGCACCAAAAATCTGAAATAATCATACCGCCAGGAGGTTAACAAAGATTATGTAACCTGATTTGAAACTGCTGCAAAGCATCGTGGCAACAGCGCAGTTCTGGTGGGCAGCCAGGAGACAGTAAAACCACGGCTCAGTTACCTGTCCTTAGCCTCCCCCCTTCTGCTACCATTGTGAAAGAGCCCTTAAAATATATTTTTTCTTTGTTTTTATGCTTTTGTCTTTGCATCTCTTGCTGCTGATCTCCTGCATCCTCTTTCAGCCACTTGCACTCCAGGAGCTGCTTCACATTAATTACTAATATTTTGGTCCTGGATTCCAAAACACTGTTTGCTCCTCCCACAGTCTGCATTTTATGCCCTTACTTTCCAGTAGGGTGCATCCAAATCACTTTAAATTTTTGGGTCAGTCCCCTTCTCTTAATACACAGGGACCGCCTATCATAACCCCCTTTACGGATTGGTCCCACTTTTACATTGCAGAGACTGCTCACCTGCAGCCCCAATGCCTTTTCGAATTTCAGCATGTGTGCAATTATTGTTTACCTAAGTGTGAATAAGCCCTAAACAGTCCATTCAAATTTTGTATCCAGTTTGGTAGACTCTTAAGGGGTCTATTTATAAAACATTTGAAGGACGAATGTCACACATTTGTGACGATGGATACCTTTTGGCCTTAAAGTGTTACTAAACCCACATCGGTACAATCAGTCTGTAGATGCAGTAAAGCCGGCTTGTTATACTCACTGTGGAACCTATGGGGTTAATCCTCTCCATTGTGTAAAAAGGCCATTTGATCCTGTCTTCTCTGCTCCTCCTCTTGTTCAAATGTCCATGTCTTATCTCCTGATAAGACAGACTGAACATGTATTCATTCTGCACATGCTCAGTTTAGTGTGTATTGCTAGAGAGGTTTTTTTTTGGGGGGGGAGTGCATGTGATCAGCACTGGACCAATCAGCACTGTCCAGACAGAGGTCAGGGGTTTTGCATGCTCCTAGAGCAGAAAGAAAACTCCTCCTACAAGCTTTAAGCAATGCTTTGCTGGACACTGATAGAAGTCACAGGACTGCTATATACTGCTGATGAAAAAAGGTATTTAGCAGTTTATATTTACTAAAATAATTGCATTTCCATGTTCTGTGTACTGTGGGAGACCAGATATAGTGAATGCAGGGTCCGGGGAGACCGGATATAGTGAATGCAGGGTCCTGGGAGACCAGATATAGTGAATGCGGGGTCCTGGGAGACCAGATATAGTGAATGCAGGGTCCGGGGAGACCAGATATAGTGAATGCAGGATCCAGGGAGACCAGATATAGTGAATGCGGGGTCCGGGGAGACCAGATATAGTGAATGCAGGGTCCGGGGAGACCAGATATAGTGAATGCAGGATCCGGGAAACCACATATAGTGAATGCGGGGTCCGGGGAGACCAGATATAGTGAATGCAGGGGTCCGGGGAGACCAGATATAGTGAATGCAGGGTCCGGGGAGACCAGATATAGTGAATGCGGGGTCCGGGGAGACCAGATATAGTGAATGCAGGGTCCTGGGAGACCAGATATAGTGAATGCGGGGTCCGGGGAGACCAGATATAGTGAATGCAGGGTCCGGGAAGACCAGATATAGTGAATGCGGGGTCCTGGGAGACCAGATATAGTGAATGCAGGGTCCGGGGAGACCAGATATAGTGAATGCAGGGTCCGGGAGACCAGAAATAGTGAATGCAGGGTCCGGGAGAGTCCAGATATAGTGAATGCGGGGTCCGGGGGGAGACCATATATAGTGAATGCAGGGTCCGGGGAGACCAGATATAGTGAATGCAGGGTCCAGGGAGACCAGGAATAGTGAATGCAGGGTCCGAGGGAGACCAGATATAGTGAATGCAGGGTCCGGGGAGAGCGGATATAATGAATGCGGGTCCGGGGAGAGCGGATATAGTGAATGCGGGGTCCGGGGAGAGCGGATATGGTGAATGCAGGGTCCGGGGAGACCAGATATAGTGAATGCAGGGTCCGGGGAGACCGGATATAGTGAATGTGGGGGTCCGGGGAGACCAGATATAGTGAATGCAGGGTCTGGGGAGACCGGATATAGTGAATGCAGGGTCCGGGGTTTAGTAGCACTTTAATTTCTATAATAGTTTATTTCCTAAGAGTGTCAGCTCTCTCTAGTGGTCAAAACTTGGTATAGTTTACCACATTTTGGCTGCTAGATGGAGTTGACAAGTTTAGGATTTAATCTATTAGAGAAAATAAAGGGAAAATGCATCAAGTCTGCTTAGATGTGTGTGACCTTGTCCAATGAATATTTTATAACTAGACCCCTTCGACTCCTCCACTTGTTGGCTATTGATATCTACCATACATATCTAGACGTGCACAATACAACTACCCACTCCCTTCCCCCTCAAAGTATGGTAAGGGTATTCACTCAACTGATAGCTGACTACAGGAGAAAATTGGTGCCAAAATTCTGCTTCCTTAGTCACCTCTTCTCCCCCTAGTCTGCTGCTTGGACAGTAAAGGAGCAGAAGGTCAGTGATAAGGTCATCCTGGTACCCTCCCCTCCTGCATGCATTTTTACAGTGTTAGATTGAATAATAGCTAATTTTCTCTAGTTGCCTGCCTTTTTACAGGATTATTGATTTAGGCCGATGACCATGGAGCCAGTATGAGAAGGTCATTGACAGGGTTTTATTTATTTATTTCAGGTACTTATATAGCTCTGTCAATTTACACAGCACTTTACATATATATATTGTACATTCACATCAGTCCCTAACACTCAGGGGGTGTACAATCTAAGGTCCCTAACTCACATACACATACTAGGGACATTTAACCTTCCAGCATGTCTTTGGAGTGTGGGAGGAAACCCACGCAGGCACAGGGAGAACATGCAAACTGCAAGCAGGTGGTGCCGCGGTTGGGATTTGAACCAACGACCCTAGTGCTTGCAGGCGGAAGTGCTAACCATTTAGCCACTGTGCTGCCCGGGTTTTTCCTGTACATCTCCTCCTGTAAGCATATTTACAGTGATAGACTGAATAATTAATACCCAATTTGCTCTAGTTGTCTTGCTTTCTCTAGGTTTCTTGATTTAATCCGATGACCATGCAACCAGCAAAGTCAGAGTGCACTCAGGAAAACCCTGATTCACAGACTTGTTTCAGTTTAGCGAGTCAGAAATTCCTGGGCAGGGAACTCATAGCTAGAAGGCATCGCAGCACGCTTTGTCTCCCTGTACAGGCCTTCCTCTAAGAAATGAGTATAGATAGGAATACCATTACATATTCATCACAGAAAAGATTAAAATGGTAATATATATGACGGGCACCTGGGACGCGTTAGGCGTTTGGTAAATGCCTGTTGCCTCCCTGTACACTTAGTTCTTTTCCATGCCGATGTGTGCTGCATGTAATTACTGCCTGCAGTACTTAGCAATGTCCAGCAGGGGACGGCAAAGCCCAGCAGCTGACTCTGTAACAGAGCTGAGTGGTGAAAGCTCAGCTACAAATTGTTAACATAGCAACTCATAAAATAATCATGTGCTGGAGTGGCAGTGTGCTGCCTCGGCCTTTCCGGCGTTAAACTCTTAATATGCTGCTGGGCGCAAGCCCACAACTGCTAAGTGGTGCTGTTTATAGGCCTGATTGGGTCTTTTGGAACCTCAGATGCCAACGTTTACTTTGGTCTATAAATAATAGGACTTAGGTATGTATATGTGAGTGTGAGCTCCGGGGATCTCGCTCCTGTAAATATGTTACAAAATCTGTATTTATATTCACGTAGGAATAACGTCCTTACAGGATGTCTCCAACTTACAAGCCGACCTCAATGCTCTGTGTAATTGGGGGACTATGTGGCAAATGAGGTTTAATGTTGATAAATGTAAGGTTCTGCACTTGGGGGCTAAGAATATGCATGCATCATACATACTAGGGGGGGTACAACTGGGGGGGTCAATGGTGGAGAAGGATCTGGGGGGGGTCAATGGTGGAGAAGGATCTGGGGGGGTCAATGGTGGAGAAGCATCTGGGGGAATCAATGGTGAAGAAGGATCTGGGGGAATCAATGGTGGAGAAGGATCTGGGGGGGTCAATGGTGGAGAAGGATCTGGGGTGTCAATGGTGGAGAAGGATCTGGGGGGTCAATGGTGAAGAAGGATCTGGGGGTTCTGGTAGATCACAAGCTTAATAATGGCAGCAATGCCAAGCTGCGGGTTCTAAAGTGAGTAAAATCCTCTCTTGTATTAAAAGAGGTATAGACTCCAGAGAGAGAGATATAATTTCCCCGATACAAATCATTAGTAAGACCTCATCTGGAATATGCAGTTCAGTTTTGGGCACCAATTCACAAATAGAACATTGGGGAACTGGAGAAAGTACAGAGAAGGGCAACCAAACTGATAAGAGGCATGGAGGAGATCAGCTATGAGGAAAGATTAGAGGAACTGAATGTATTCTCTCTTGAGAAGAGGAGATTAAGGGGGATATGATCTCCATGTATAATACATAAGGGGGGATATGATCACCATGTATAATACATAAGGGGGGATATGATCTCCATGTATAATACATAAGGGGGGATATGATCTCCATGTATAATACATAAGGGGGGATATGATCTCCATGTATAATACATAAGGGGGGATATGATCTCCATGTATAATACATAAGGGGGATATGATCACCATGTATAATACATAAGGGGGATATGATCTCCATGTATAATACATAAGGGGGGATATGATCTCCATGTATAATACATAAGGGGGGATATGATCTCCATGTATAATACATAAGGGGGATATGATCTCCATGTATAATACATAAGGGGGATATGATCTCCATGTATAATACATAAGGGGGGATATGATCTCCATGTATAATACATAAGGGGGGATATGATCTCCATGTATAATACATAAGGGGGGGATATGATCTCCATGTATAATACATAAGGGGGGGATATGATCTCCATGTATAATACATAAGGGGGGATATGATCTCCATGTATAATACATAAGGGGGGATATGATCTCCATGTATAATACATAAGGGGATATGATCTCCATGTGTAATACATGAGGGGGGGGGGGGGATATAATCTCCATGTATCACCAAATACAATGGAATGGTCATTTCTGGAAAACGGGCCGCCGGCCGACATGAGACCCTCCCCAGAATAAACCTGGAGAAGAACGCTCGCCTTAAGTCTGAATCTGAGGAATAGTCTGCAGGGGAGAACGCAGAATAGTCCATCCTCCTAGAATGTGTACATAAAGTGGTTCATATAGTGAACTCGGTGTAGTTATTCCCCCTGAGGTCATCACAGAGGACAAGGGGGCGCACTCTTTACGTCTGGAGGAAAATAAATTTAATCTCCAAACACAGTAAGAGTTGTGAGAATGTGGAATAGACTCCCTAAAGAGTTGGTTGTGGCCAGCTCAGTGGATTGCTTTAAAAAAGTCTTGGATTCTTTCTTGGATACACAGAATATAACTGGATACTAACATTTATAGGTAAAGTTGATCCAGGGAATATACGATTGCTTCTCGGGGGATCAGGAAGGATTTTTTTCCCTGCAGGAGCAAATTGGATTATGGTTTGCTGGATTTTTGCCCTCCTCCGTCTTCAAAGGGGAACTCCGACTAAAATGGCAACCTCCTGCTCCATTACAGTGGTAATGGGTCAAGAGTATTTGACTTTTTTTTTGTTTTGAATTGTTAAGCTAGCCATAGATGGATCATAATCTGGTTCAGCAAGGACCGGACGAATTTCAATCCATTATTCCCTCGTGTTCTTTTTTTTGCCTTGTCCTTCTCTGTTTCATACCAACTTCTCCACTCATCTTCTTTTTCATATATATTTATCTATCTTAACCCCCCACAACACCCCTACTCCCTCTCTTCCTTTTTTCCCTTCCTCTTTTCCTATCTATCTATCTACACCCCCTCCCTTTCCTTTTTCCCTCTCTCTTTTCTCTATCTATTTTCCTTCAATTCAGACATTTCCCTCATAATGCTTTTTTTCTGCCACCTGATGTCCTCAGGCTGAGCCTAGACCAGCAATGGGCAAAATACGGCCCGGCGGACCTTTTAATCCGGCCCGCGGAGCGTGGCAAACATCGGCTGTCAGAATGTGTGTAGGCGGGGCAGCGTGAGGAACGTGAGGGGAGCTAGGCTCCTCTCACAGTCCGCCCTGAAGACCGGAACGGCGCGGGAACACGGCGAGAGGAACGCGCGGAGCAAAGGTAAGTGAATTGACACAGGGGGGACTTGGGGACTTAATATGGGGGATGAATTAATATGGGGAATTAATTACTATAGGGGGGATGAATTACTATATGGGGGATGAATTACTATGGGGGATGAATTACTATATGGGGGATGAATTACTATATGGGGGATGAATTACTATATGGGGGATGAATTACTATGGGGGATGAATTACTATATGGGGGATGAATTACTATGGGGGATGAATTACTATATGGGGGATGAATTACTATATGGGGGATGAATTACTATAGGGGGGATGAATTACTATATGGGGGATGAATTACTATGGGGGATGAATTACTATATGGGGGATGAATTACTATATGGGGGGTGAATTACTATGGGGGATGAATTACTATGGGGGATGAATTACTATATGGGGGATGAATTACTATATGGGGGATGAATTACTATAGGGGGGATGAATTACTATATGGGGGATGAATTACTATAAGGGGGATGAATTACTATGGGGGATGAATTACTATATGGGGGATTAATTACTATGGGGGAATATTACTATACTTACTATGGATGACACATACACATCATTCATCTACTCTTGGTCCGGGGGTCCAATATATGAACCCATTGCGGCCCTCAAGTCAAAAAGTTTGCCCACCCCTTGCCTAGACCATCCCGGACCAGCCCCCAACCTGTGACTGGACAGTGAAAGGAGAAGCAGCACAGTGATAAGCTCATCTCTCTGTCACTCTGCTCTCTTCTCCTATTCGTATGCTCTTTATTATCATATGAGCACTGAAGCATAGCTTATTAGCTCCTTCTGCTTCTTCTCCCTCACCTGTAAGGGGAACAGGAACTGCAAGAGG